GCAGAGAGCAAGAGAGTAAGACATGAAATTTACCCGAGTGCGCAAAAAAACACGACAAAACATACCCGAGTGTCGATGAATCAATGAATTTGTTGTTCAAGTGGCAAAACATAATTGTACTCACAATTAGCAAGTGGCGCATAAGTATCAAAATAAGCCACTTGTTGTTATTCTCTGATATGTACTTACTCTCTTCTTATTGTATATTTATACATTTCTGTAGCAGCGACAAAAATTCGCCTTGCACATTGTGGAACACATCATATATATTTGCAGAATGTTGCCAGCCATATAAATTGTTTTTAAACTCTCTAGGATTTTTCTGTCATTATTCCATTGCATTTCAGAAAGTAAAAAATGTTGTTCTCTTTTAATTAACAGAAAATGTTGTTACGATTGTTGCATGCTTATTTAATTTTAATTAAATTTTTCAACAATACCGGCAGCGACTTTCCAATGTGTTGTGCTTGCTTGCTGCCGGTCAGGAAAAAATGAGCCGGATACGGTAAGCTCCGAAGTGAGTTGTATATGAACAGTTGGCAAAACTGATAGCACAGTTAGTGGCGATAGTCACGTAACGTGCATCAATACAACTCTGTCAATGTGTAATAGGTTTGGGTGTACACCAAAACAAAATAAATAAATGTCGGAAAATTTGGCGAAAATGTGGAAAGGAGGGAAAATGCTGTTTGGTTTTGGTCGTATAAAAGGGTTCAAGCGGAGAAAATCGCCATAGTTATTGGTGTTAGCTTAAAGTGTCCATTTTGAAAAATTTTCCCCAAAATAATAAAACCAACAAAATAAGCAAAATTAGTTGCCATAATTTTTTTGTAATTTTTATTTAATTTGGTGTTGTGTTGTATACACGAGTTTGTGCGTGTACAAATATGTAAGTGTTATTTATTGTTTTGTGAATACATTGTTTTGTTATTGTAATTGTTAAATTTTGGTGTTGAAACGTTTTGTTCTTTTTCAAGTGAACGCCAAAATCAAACCACAACACCGAAATAAATATACTGACCCCTCCAAATATCCTTGCGGAGGAGGTCAGCGAAAAATCAGGGGAAGAAGGAAAAATCCGCCAAAAAGCCCCTTTTACATACTGGGACGGAATCCTTTTAACATCATTTTGGGAGGTTAACACTTGTGCCAAGGATCCTCCACAACCAAAGTCGGCCTGTAAAATCCTGGTATATTCCTGTAAAGAAGTAACAAGAAAATCGAACTATTAAATACTGAAAACCAGGTAAAATTGTTAATATATAAACCTACCCAAATCCAACGAAAATAGACCGGAGTCTTCAAAATCCCCAACGTAATAGTCTGAAAAGAGACAAAAGAAAAAACGAAATATCAGAATCAATTTTATTAACGAAAAATAATTACACCAAAGCTAAAACAAAACCGACCATACAAATATTTTAAAAATACCCTAAATATTAAATTTATGTTGTAATTGTTAGTAGTTTAGTTTAGTTATTAAGAATTTTTATGATAATTATTTTTTTGTGAGGATTTTTAACCCCTAATTCTAGTGAGATTAGGTTGCCAATGATTAAGTGGATCATAATTTAAGTTTTGCGTTTGTGGATATGAATTAACAGTCCACGTCACCACTAACAGAGCTCTATTAGGCAGGTGGAAGAGAGTATAAAGTGGCCTTATTGGCCGTGTAGTATGCCCTAAAGAGTGTTGGTAACCGTGATGTTTTGACTCACACGGAGAGAAAATAGGTGTTAGGAATTCGTTATATGACCTTTGTTTTAAAAATTTTTTTGTATTAGGATTAAGTCAAATATGATAATAAATGTTTTAATGTCTGCTCTTAAGTAATAAAAATATGAATTGCTAATTGTTTTGTGTGAGAGAGGATATTAGAATGTAAGTTACTGAGGTGAGTGTGTGTGGAAATAGGGGCCCTTTAAATTTATTTGTGTTAATTGGACGGAAGGGTCAAGGATGGGTGGGCTAAGTGTGGGAACCAAGACACCAAGTTCCCTTGTCATGGTTGTATGTTGTGTTGTGTCGTTTTATTTTGTATTTATTTATTGATTACCTTTTTTGTCAATTGTTCGACCCCTAGGGCTGACGGTGGTTGGGTTGAGAATCCCCTTGAAAGTGGTTGCCCCGATTGACTAGCTGGAACCCCACCGTAGCGCCGCAGTAGGCGGTATGTAACACGATATCGTAACAACAGAGCAAAAGCCATCTAACGGCCAACTTGGAAATTCAATTGTCCTATCTTTATACTTATTTGCAAGGTATATTTAATAAGGTAGCGGCATCAGCCCAGCTGTTGGACAAATAAATGTCAAAAATGTTGTTGTAATGTTGAACCAAAAAATTAAAAAAACAAAATTATAAATGAAAATCTCCGAATTTCGAAGAGCTTTTTTGACAATACTTTTATTAACATTTTCTACGAGAATTTGTGTAAAAAAATCTTGTCAATCTGTTTGTTTTGGCAAAATATTTTTGACATATCAAAATACAACAACCGATGTTTGTTGTAGAAATTCGCCGATGCGGCTACCTTGTATATCTACCTTGCTTCTATGTCTTTGATGGATGTGTAAATAGGGATACGTACGGCGACTTCAATCGGCTGGCCATGGCCGCATTTACACGTTTGCACCAGTGTATGTATTCTCCAAAGTAGTTTTAACGCCGGAACTAAACTAATAAATAACGTTTAGCTATTAATAAAATTAAAATTTAATTGCAAAATCGAGCTTTATTTACCTCAATTAACCAAATAAAATTAAATTCACTTTATACCTCGAATTGTTTGAAAAGCTATGCAACTAAGAGCAACTCTGCTTTGCACCAAAAAATAATCATTTTGCCTAAAAGTATGCTTCGAAGTACATTAAAATTCAAAATAACGTAACAAAAGAATAATTACTATAATTTAAAACAACTCACTTTTTATACATTTTCAAGTTAATGGAGAGCAATTCAAGCTGTTGTTTCTGTTTGGTGAAAGCAAAATTGCGGTGTGAACACATACATACATCAGCGCATCATACAAAGAAATGCAAATGAGATTCAAATAAGATACCTACACCGAATAGTCCGAATTGTAAATAAAAACATATAATGCCATGTACAGACGAGCGTCGTTCGCTCTCTCATTCGTTGTTCGACCCCTAATTATGAAGTAATTACTTAGTTCCCCATACAACATTTTCTGAGCGAACACCGACTTTTGTACGTTATTAAATTCAAATCACTCTCTGAATAACCAAGAATTTGTCGAAAATAAATTAATTTTGACAGTTTGAAAATATTTATGAAATTTTCAAACTTTTCCGGTAAAATTGAAAATGAAGAATGAAAAGTAACAAATATATGCAGAAGGAAGTAAATTTTGTAATCTACATAATGCAATATGCATTCCCTTTTTTCCCTTTTCCTTCCCTTTTGTTCTAATTAGCGTACAAAACGAGAAACAAATGTGGGGAAACCCAAACAAAAATTCTCCAATTTTTTATATGTCACATTTGAAATGAGAAAATATAAAAATTTATTCATAGCAACAATATTTTCGGAAAAAATGGAAAACATGAATTAAAAGTAAGTAAAAATACGATGTTCGAATGCCCGTCAGAACATGGCATAATGGTCTTCGATTTCTATGATCAATGACTCATTTTGTTCACAAAAGGGGAACACATAAGAGGATTTCAGGCATGGCATGTTATGTTGGCTCGTATGTGTTTTCCCCTTAAAGGAGAGAACAATAGTAGTACGGCATTATAGTGTATGGGAGTCATAAATTGCTATAGCCTATTTTCTATTATTTCATACTTTTCAAACAAACTAAGTCCCAATTTATATTAGGCGAGTTTAATTGCGGCAAGTCTTTGTTTGAAGGAGAGAGGGGCAAGGGGAATAGAACTTGAAAAAAATTGCTCGTACCGACAATTTTCTGGCAATTGTCAAAAAAAAATATATATATTTTTGAAATCGAATTGCCTTGTATAGACGAATGAAGCAAGTTCAAAAGAGAACGATAAAAATTGCCGCAAGTAAACTCGCCTAATATAAATCAGGACTAACAATATACCTCTACCGTGTGACTTGTCAAGCCAGAATATATTAAAATAGTCCCGTGACAAATAATATTAATTTACACTACATTAAATTAAATTTAATGACATTGCAGATAGGGCAGCCGATTCTATTAACAATGGAATCTGCTTAGAAGTACAATGACCAATGGTGGATGCCATAAATCAAATAGCTACAATCCTAAGCTACACGCATATACATGGCTCGAAACATTCTGTCCCCAAATAGGACATGAACCAAGGAGTAGAGAAGGCGTTTATAACAAAAAACTAGACGAAACAAGTAGTTTTCCTCATTTGACAGATTCTTAACATTTTTCTAAAAAAACGATAAGGTTCTATTTTTTTACTTTTCTTGAATATGACGAACATTGTTATAGGTTCCTTCTATGCTTACAATTTTGCATATATTGATTTAGTTTTTGTAAGTATTGATATAACAATTTATATTTTATTTTTCTTTTGTTATATAAAAAGGCGCATATTAGTGTTACAAAATACATTTGTAAATAATTTGTATGATCTCTTAAACATTACTATTAATTTTTATTACAAATGTTATTCATTTTTATTTACACGAACTTGCATAGGTGAATCCAAGACTGACGAACAAATATATAAAGTTCATTTAAAAATGAAAAAAATAAAACTAGACATGAAATTCAATTTTCTTAGAAATATTTAACATAAACGTGACGAATGAAAGACCTATTCTACCAATTATTGTAACTTAGTCCATAAGTGAAGTAGAAAAGGAAAATGCTAATTAGAAACCATTTCTATTATAATCCTTAAGAATGCAGTTTAACTTAAAATATTACGTAAAATTATCGAGTGAGAGAACACTAAATCTATGTAGTCCAGATAAGTTTAAATTTTCGTTTAAAACAGGCAGCATCGTTGTCAACAAACCCAGCTATGTGAAAGGTAAAACTATGAATGGTTATATTCATCTTCGGTCCTCTCCACAAGCAGCAATTCTTCCAAGCGATCCAGACGTTGGCGTAATTCTTCTTTTTCCTTCTGGGCTATTTCGAATTTTCTTCTAAGTTCCTCATTCTGCTTTCTCAACTCCAATAACTGCCTACAGATTTCGGGTACAGTTAGTAGAGGTATAACTGACGGCGAAAATGACGTTGTTTTGCTGCTTTCCTGATTTACTGGAGGTTTAGTGGGATTAAGTTTGATGGTTTTGGCTGCATTAATTTGGCGCACTGGCACGGTATTCATATGTTCAACACGTTTAGCCGGTACAAGGCGCACAGCTTGTTTTGGAACTGTAGATTGTTGATGAGACGGCACCGGCACAGTCTTTACAATCGCTTGTGTTTTTTGTGCTTCATGCTCTATAATGTCGTTTTCATCTTTGCTGGATACTTGTATTATATGGGGTAGTATATCCTCTTCAAGCACAGCGATGTTGTCTTGTGGAACGGATTGTTGTCTGTTACTACCGCCATCTACACATTTCATATCCAACTTCACCTGAAATAAAAAAATAACTTTTGAATTATCCCATCAAGGACGAACGCATGCGTAATGATCCATAGTACGATAAAATATGTCAGATGGTACGTAACATTTTAAAATAATGTTTATTTAAATGGTAAACAAGTTTTAATTCATGCAAGCATTTATTCAAGGTATTACTCCTTTACCACTACTGTGGTTGTTCGGCACTAGTTGTGAAACTTTAACAATGTTAGGATGTCTAAACAAAATAACGAACCTGCTGTTGCTTCATTTGCATTGGCTGCCTTGAATTTATAACACGTTGTTGGCTACAATTAAAAACAAAAAACGCGAGAGAATGTAGTATTCAGCATATTATACGTTAACTGTAAACATACCTCGTAACCGATTGTGGCAGCTTTTGCATAGTCTTCAGATTTGTATTTCCATACAACTTTTTAAAATCATTTATTGATATAATACGTATATTCTGCAAAAAAAAAAAGTGTGGGATTATTATATGTGGGTGAGTACCTAATGTCGATAAAAAGAATGAACTCACCTTATTCTTTGTTACTTGCTGATTGTCCTTAGCCTTACTTATGACATTCGGTTTTAGCCTATTAACATTTGCATTGTTTGAGGAACTTACATAGGTTGCACTATCATTGCGTGCCCTCGCTGGAACAATATTTTTATTAGAACCATTTATATTAAAATTATTGTTATTGCTT